CTCCATGGGACGCCCTAGAGCTCCCCTAGGGCCCCCTATAACCACCATAGGACCTTCTATAGCCCCCATAGGACCCCCTAGAGCTCCTGTAAATCCCCCAGAGCCCCCATAGGATCCCCTAGAGCTCCCCTAGGACCCCCTAGAGCTCCTATAGCCCCCCTAAACCTCCTATATGACCCTCTATAGTCCCCATAGGATGGGCTAGAGCTCCTATAGGCTCCCCTATAACCACCATAGAACCCCCTATAGCCCCCCTAGGACCTCCAGATCTCCCCTACTACCCCCTATAGCCCCCCTAGGACCTCCAGATCTCCCCTACTACCCCCTATAGCCCCCCTAGGACCTCCAGATCTCCCCTACTACCCCCTATAGCCCCCCTAGGACCTCCAGATCTCCCCTACTACCCCCTATAGCCCCCCTAGGACCTCCAGATCTCCCCTACTACCCCCTATAGCCCCCCTAGGACCTCCAGATCTCCCCTACTACCCCCTATAGCCCCCCTAGGACCTCCAGATCTCCCCTACTACCCCCTATAGCCCCCCTAGGACCTCCAGATCTCCCCTACTACCCCCTATAGCCCCCCTAGGACCTCCAGATCTCCCCTACTACCCCCTATAGCCCCCCTAGGACCTCCAGATCTCCCCTACTACCCCCTATAGCCCCCCTAGGACCTCCAGATCTCCCCTACTACCCCCTATAGCCCCCCTAGGACCTCCAGATCTCCCCTACTACCCCCTATAGCCCCCCTAGGACCTCCAGATCTCCCCTACTACCCCCTATAGCCCCCCTAGGACCTCCAGATCTCCCCTACTACCCCCTATAGCCCCCCTAGGACCTCCAGATCTCCCCTACTACCCCCTATAGCCCCCCTAGGACCTCCAGATCTCCCCTACTACCCCCTATAGCCCCCCTAGGACCTCCAGATCTCCCCTACTACCCCCTATAGCCCCCCTAGGACCTCCAGATCTCCCCTACTACCCCCTATAGCCCCCCTAGGACCTCCAGATCTCCCCTACTACCCCCTATAGCCCCCCTAGGACCTCCAGATCTCCCCTACTACCCCCTATAGCCCCCCTAGGACCTCCAGATCTCCCCTACTACCCCCTATAGCCCCCCTAGGACCTCCAGATCTCCCCTACTACCCCCTATAGCCCCCCTAGGACCTCCAGATCTCCCCTACTACCCCCTATAGCCCCCCTAGGACCTCCAGATCTCCCCTACTACCCCCTATAGCCCCCCTAGGACCTCCAGATCTCCCCTACTACCCCCTATAGCCCCCCTAGGACCTCCAGATCTCCCCTACTACCCCCTATAGCCCCCCTAGGACCTCCAGATCTCCCCTACTACCCCCTATAGCCCCCCTAGGACCTCCAGATCTCCCCTACTACCCCCTATAGCCCCCCTAGGACCTCCAGATCTCCCCTACTACCCCCTATAGCCCCCCTAGGACCTCCAGATCTCCCCTACTACCCCCTATAGCCCCCCTAGGACCTCCAGATCTCCCCTACTACCCCCTATAGCCCCCCTAGGACCTCCAGATCTCCCCTACTACCCCCTATAGCCCCCCTAGGACCTCCAGATCTCCCCTACTACCCCCTATAGCCCCCCTAGGACCTCCAGATCTCCCCTACTACCCCCTATAGCCCCCCTAGGACCTCCAGATCTCCCCTACTACCCCCTATAGCCCCCCTAGGACCTCCAGATCTCCCCTACTACCCCCTATAGCCCCCCTAGGACCTCCAGATCTCCCCTACTACCCCCTATAGCCCCCCTAGGACCTCCAGATCTCCCCTACTACCCCCTATAGCCCCCCTAGGACCTCCAGATCTCCCCTACTACCCCCTATAGCCCCCCTAGGACCTCCAGATCTCCCCTACTACCCCCTATAGCCCCCCTAGGACCTCCAGATCTCCCCTACTACCCCCTATAGCCCCCCTAGGACCTCCAGATCTCCCCTACTACCCCCTATAGCCCCCCTAGGACCTCCAGATCTCCCCTACTACCCCCTATAGCCCCCCTAGGACCTCCAGATCTCCCCTACTACCCCCTATAGCCCCCCTAGGACCTCCAGATCTCCCCTACTACCCCCTATAGCCCCCCTAGGACCTCCAGATCTCCCCTACTACCCCCTATAGCCCCCCTAGGACCTCCAGATCTCCCCTACTACCCCCTATAGCCCCCCTAGGACCTCCAGATCTCCCCTACTACCCCCTATAGCCCCCATAGGACCCCCTAGAGCTCCTATAGACCCCCTAGAGCTCCCATAGGCTCCCAGAGCTCCCCCATAATCCCCAGAGTCCCTATGGGAGTTCCTGACACAGCGCCTATAGTCCCCATACAGATTGCCCCATACCTCTTTATAGTTTCTATAGTGCTCTCTACTCTATAGACCTCTTATAACCTTTTCTATAGTTCCTAATGAAGCTCCCTATAGCCCCCATAGACCTCCCGAGCCCCTACAGCATCCCATAGATTTTCCTACAGCCTATAAGCATCAAAAACCCTTATAGCCCCCATAGACGACCCCAACCCCTATAACCCTTTCCACAGCCCCCAATGGAGCCCCCTATAGACCCCACAGGCCCCTATAGAGCCCAGAGTTCCCTATGGGCTCCACTAGGCCCCTCTGGGCGCTATAGGGCCCTATAGGCGCCCACCGCTGGCGTTGGGGTTGAGCCGCTCGTCGTTGAGCACGGCCAGGAAGTCGCTGCTGTTCAGGTAGAGGTCGCGGTGGTGCGGATCTGCGCCAAAATCGCGGGAATTCACCCCAAAACCGTGGGGATTCACCCCAAAACCGTGGGAATTCACCCCAAAATCAGCATTCCCCGCTCCCCGGGGTGCGGATCTGTGCCAAAATCGCGGGAATTCCCCCCAAAACCGTGGGAATTCACCCCAAAACCGCGGGGATTCACCCCAAAACCGCGGGGATTCACCCCAAAACCGCGGGGATTCACCCCAAAACCGCGGGGATTCACCCCAAAACCGCGGGGATTCACCCCAAAACCGCGGGGATTCACCCCAAAACCGTGGGAATTCACCCCAAAATGAGCATCTCCTCCCTCCCCAGGGCGGGATCTGTGCCAAAATTGCAGGAATTCACCCCAAAACCATGGGAATCTGCCCCAAAACCATGGGAATTCACCCCAAAAACCACAAGAATCCGCCCCAAAACCATGGGAATTCACCCCAAAATGAGCATCTCCTCCCTCCCCAGGGTGGGATCTGCGCCAAAATTGTGGAAATTCACCCCAAAACCATGGGAATCCACCCCAAAATGAGCATTTCCCCGCTCCCCGGGGTGCGGATCTGCGCCAAAATCGCGGGAATTCACCCCAAAACCATGGGAATTCACCCCAAAATGAGCACTCCCCCCGGCTGAGAACCCCTCTGGGGCAGGATCTGCCCCAAAACTGCAGGAATTCACCCCAAAATGAAATGCCCCCCCCCCATGCTGCACAACAGGGGCATTTGGGGATTTTTGGGGGGTTCGGGGAGGGTTTTTGGGGCTGTTTCGGGGTGTTTCAGGGTGCTTAGGGATATTTCAGGCTGTTTCGGGGGTATTTTCGGGTGTTTGGGGGGTGTTCTGTGGTATTTCAGGCTGTTTGGGGGTATTTTGGGGTGTTTCGGGGTGCTTGGCGGTGTTTTGGGGTATTTCAGCCTATTCCAGGAGTATTTTGCGGTATTTCGGGGTTGCTTGGGGTGTTTTGAGGTATTTCCGGCTCTTCCGGGAGTTTGGGGGATGCTCGGGGGTGTTTTGGGGCATTTCTAGCCATTCCGGGGGTATTTTGGGGTGTTTCAGGGTGCTTGGGGGTGTTTTGGGGTATTTCCAGCTGTTCCGGGGTATTTCCGGCTGTTCCAGGAGTATTTGGGAGGGTTTTGGGGGTGCTCAGGGGTGTTTTGGGGATATTTCTAGCTGTTCCGGGGGTATTTGGGGGTATTTTAGGGTACCTAAGGGTATTTAGGGGGTGTTCTGGGCTACTTCAGGCTGTTTTGGGGGTATTTTCGGGTGTTTGGGGGGGGTTCTAGGGCATTGC